TATTCAAGAACCTAATGACATAAATCAACAGTACTTCTATTTCCAGTATCAACATTACTGAGGTACATCAAACCGTGGAAGCTATCTGGCAGTCTGTTGTTGATTCAAACGTGTATGTATGTATGTATGTATGTATGTATGTATGTATGTATGTATGTATGTATGTATGTATGTATGTATGTATGTATGTATGTATGTATGTATGTATGTGTGTGTGTGTGTGTGTGTGTGTGTGTGTGTGTGTGTGTGTGTGTGTGTGTGCGTGCGTGCGTGCGTGCGTGCGTGCGTGCGTGCGTGCGTGCGTGCGTGCGTGCGTGTTTGTGTTTGTATATATATATATATATATATATATATATTTACCATCTAATGGAGGGTGTTATCGGTGCAATAAAGCAATCTAATAAACGCCATGCGAATCCTAAAACGTTTAACATTTTTGATGACGTCGTCACGGTTTACATTGCGTGGACAAGTTTGTAAACAAACATGGCTGCCAACATTCTCAAAATTGGTAATTCTGTAAGACTTGATGACAGAGGTTCTGGGGTCGTTACTTGCAGTAATTGACTTTGGAAAACATGAAACGGAGTACTTCGTTCAAATTGAAGGTACGGATTATGAGGCACGAGTGAAAGGCGATCGTCTAAGAAAGGTACCAACCAAGGATTTCGATATATCGATCACAATCTACAGACGACGAATCGATTCCGTCAGGTATCAAAAACTGATTTTGATGAGGTGATTACCCGCAATGAAAATAGAAACACTACCAAGAAAACCCTGCCCGATTTTGCTGTTTCATTGCCATGTGGTCTGAGAGAAGACATGTTGTTTTTGACATATGGAAAGCTGAGCAAATGGGGTCTAACAAAATGGTATGTAGATATTTTCATTGTTTATATAATTTATTTGTGTGTTTGAGATATGGTAATGCATAAAATATTACTATTATAAATTTTCCATGTTTTATTGCAATGTTTTGATAAATGTCCTCAGTTTTCATGCACTGGTTAAATTTCTTCATTGAGTAAATTTAAAGTGTATATTATAAGGTTAGGGTGTAGGTTCATTTAGTTATTTTCTCTAATGTTAAAGTTAATTTCCATATAATTTCTGAGCTGTTAAAGTAAATGTATTTCATCTTTTTTTTCCATTTATTGACTGTAATTTTCTTAGACATGTAATACTTTAGGTACTTATTACTATTTTTTGTTTTATTTACAGTCAATCATTTCATTCGGAGGATTTATAATGAGAATTGAGAATGATGAAATTGAATATGTATGTCATGAACTTGAATCTGTGAAACTATCAATTTGAGGGACATGAACATGAACTGACATGAGAAATGGAATAAAGGAGCACTCTGACGATAAATGAATCTTCATTTTGTTTATCACAACTACAAATGAAGACGTGGCATGTGGTATATCGCCGAGTTGGTAATGATGATGTGTTCAAATGCTTTGTGGGTGTGTGACAATATGTATAACGTTAAAGTTGTGAAGTTTGCGTGTGTCGACACAACACAACATGTCAAATGTACGGGGCAAGGAAAGTGTTAAGGTTTGTGTTTAGAAGGTAATACATTTAGTGTACCTCAGCCCACCAACCTCCCCAATTCAATGAGAGTCGTTTTCATGTACATATTCACACCTCCTCGAATCAATAGACCTGTCTCACAGCTCCACTCCTGTCGGATAGCCCTATTTGAAAGACGTAAAGTTGTCCTTCTTGTTCGCAAATACGTTTCGGAAACTTTCATGACGAGCTGCAAAGGAGCGATCTACAAAACATTCCCGTGTAGAAAAAGCTGTTGCTATTTATAAGCTACATCAGTTCCATCAGTTTCAGCAACGTCCCTTTGCAAATAGCTGGATGTACTTCCCTGATAAGCACACACAGGTAAACTCTAAAGCTGCATGCAAACACGTGTATTATCCAGGTGTTGCTGTCAACTCTGTGTGTCCGGCAGTAATACGAACAGGTGTCCCCAGTCAGCGAGCGTCCCTCTTCGCGTGAGATGCTTTGGTATCAACATAGAAGGGAGGAATATTCAGCTCTCGGCACACAGTTCTCACACACAGGACTCGGAGCTACACCGAGGGTGAAGGAGAGAGGGGGGTGGGGTGTGTGTGGGGTGGTGGTGGTACGGGGGCTGTTTTTACGCTTGGCCGCACTGAGGCTGTGTTTCACTTCAGAATAGCGCTGAAGATACAGAAATGTAGTTACACCTGCCTATATCAAATATATACGGGTCGGTCGAGATCCAGCTGATCATGGGGTAGGAGGTAAGGTGAAGTTTGGGTGCAAGGAACGGTGTTCCAGTTGCTTGTACTCGTCAGGATTAATGCCGTTTAGATGAAACAAGCTCAACGAAACATAAGTATAAAGATAAGTATACAAATCAGGCATTTCATTACAAAAATCAGCATAACACTCCATACCCACCTTTTTCATTCTTTGTCAAATTTATTCATGATATGAGTAAGGTAAAGAATGATCCCAGTTTCATGTATGTCACAAACGTGTCTTCCAGGTCTTCTTGCTTCTTGCAAGTATTGCTTCTTGTTTTTAAATGCATCCATGGACTGGTTCCAGGGTATCTTTCACAACTTGTAAAACGCTATGTGCCAACCCGATCTCTTCGCTCCAGTGACCAATCTCTTCTGCAAATTCAATGTACAAAGTCTTTTGGTGACCGAGTATTCTCTTCAAATGGTGCAAAACTCTGGAAAAATCTACCACAAGAACTTCGATCACTGACTGAACTCGCATCTTTTAAAAGCCAGTTAAAGACTCTTTTTACCAAAGCTTACCTTTAGCTCCAGCGTGGACTTAGAGCGCCTTTGGGCGATTACATCGGATTCTGGCGCTATAGAAGTATTTGTATGTATGTATGTATGTATGTATGTATGTATGTATGTATGTATGTATGTATGTATGTATGTATGTATGTATGTATGTATGTATGTATGTATGTATGTATGTATGTATGTATGTATGTATGTATGTATGTATGTATGTATGTATGTATGTATGTATGTATGTATGTATGTATGTGATTTAAACATATTTTTATTCATGAAGATGAATTGGGATTGGTGAACAAGCATTACTGCTTATATTAACACCGCTCCCATGCAACATATAATACAACATGAAAATGGAGGATTTGACGTCATCGATACTGACCATTGCATAAACATAATATTTGTAAAATGTATAAATATATACAGATTACATGAAATACAACTATTCTCTAAGTAGTCATAAGTTTGAGAGTTACAGTTGTGTGTGTCTCACAAGCCATTGTAGAAATATAAATCAATCATGAGAAGGTTGTTGAGGAATTTATTTATTTTCCTGAGAAAATTTAAAGCGTTGTGTCTTGGTTATATAATCGTGGACGGATTCAACTATTTTCTGGTTAACACAGGGAGTAAATTCTTTGTTTCCCTTAAGAATGGTATCCAGGTTATAACCGGTAGTGTAAAAATACATATTAAGTCTTAGCCGAGTATAGTTACGGCAAGTGAGGAAATAGTGTAGGGCGTTTTCACTCTGAAGTCCACAAGAACAACAAGGGCTGTCTATTTAATGTCTGTTATACTTATCGGCGTTTAGGTCGCTACATCCGAGCCTGAGGCGGCAGTGAACGATTTGGCAAAAACGAGTGCCATAATTAAGGTCAAAGTAAATCTTATTTTCAGTTTTTGTAATTAGGTTTTTTAAATTCTGTGAGATTACATGACGCTGTGGAATTTGGTAGGGCATTCCATAAATTTATTGTGGCAGGTAAAAAGGATTTAGCATAAGAGGCAGTGCGACTGTAAATTCCTTCTATTTCAGAGTTATTCCTCAAGCTGTAGTTTGTAGTTCCGGAGACGGAGTTTGGGATCAGGTCACAAAGATATTTTGGCAATTGGTTGTTGTACATCTTATAGAAAAAAGTTAACTTCTGGCAATTCCCTCTATCTTGCATGGACTGAGATTTGGTTTCATTATAAAGTTTGTTATGACTTTTGCCACGAACGGCACCACATATAGTTCTCAGAGCATCAAGATGTAAATTTTCTAATGTACGCGATTGCTCAGAAGTACAGTTATCCCAAATATGCGAACAATAGTCAAATATTGGCAAGATATAGGATTTATACATAATATCCAACGTTTTACGTGATAATCGGTATTTAAGACTCCTCAGACAACTGATCATAGGGCGAACTTTACGTACAATATCATTAGTGTGATCATTCCACGTACAATCGCTTTGGAGTGTTAATCCTAAATGTTTATGACTTTTGACTTCTTTTATGATTGTTCCGTCCATGAATAGGTTTTGTTTTGGAGACGGTTTCGTTTTACGTGAGAACTGAGTAGTTTCGGTACTATTTGGATGAAATGTATCCTGCCACTTACGGGCCCATTGTGAAATTCTATCTAGATCTTTGTTAAGACAGGTAGCAGCAACTGATGGATCGTCTATGATAACATATAATGAGGTGTCATCCGCAAAGAGACGAATGTTACTGTCAACATCACATACAATATCATTGATGTATATCAGAAAAAGAAGTGGTCCAAGGACAGAGCCCTGAGGTACTCCAGCTAGTACAGTTTTCTTGTCAGATTTATACATGTATGTATGTATGTATGTATGTATGTATGTATGTATGTATGTATGTATGTATGTATGTATGTATGTATGTATGTATGTATGTATGTATGTATGTATGTATGTATGTATGTATGTATGTATGTATGTATGTATGTATGTATGTATGTATGTATGTATATGTAACTGACAGTACAAAGGTGTCGACGAGAAAGACTGACGTCTCGCAACAATCATACGCTAGCAGACAGGATGAAAGCAATGCAACCAAGTGCCCTTACCATTCAACGGGACATTTCTTGAATCAGTGTTATGCATTCAGAAACAGTACGTATGAACGGCGTAAGGAATTTCTCAAGACCAAAGGTTATTGCTTCAGATGTTGTTAAACCAGTTCTCACCTAGCTAAAGAATGTAAGGAAAATGTTTCATGTACTTTATGTAACAGCAAGAGACACCCAACATTTTTACACATGGACAAACAGCAGTTGACTTCAACCAGGCAGGCACAGAACTCAACAGATCATGGCGGGGAGGAAAGAAATTCCCGCAGAGGCTATATCATCCAATGTACACAGGTATGTGGAAACAAACGCGGAGGAAAATCATGTGCAAAGATCATACCTGTCAAGGTTTACTCCAAATCAAGACCAGAACTTTCAGTTAATCTATATGCTATGTTTGATGATGTTAGCAACGTATCCCTTGGTAATTCAGAACTCTTTGACAGTCTTTGCTTAGGTGGAAGGAGGTTTCCATACACCATTACATCATGTTCAGGTATTTTTGACTCAAGTGGAAGACGAGCTAGTGATCTTGTGATAGAATCTCTGGATGGCAGCTGTCAGCTTGACATTCCCCATCTCATAGAGTGTAACCAGGTGTCCAATCTGCAGGATGAAATTCCGTACACCTGAAGTGGCTAAGTACCATAACCATCTCAGTGACATTTCAGATTGTATTGTTCCTCTGGACTCCTCTGAAGATCTTGTTACTGATTGGAAGAGATGTTATCGAAACACACCTCGTGTTAGACCAACGGATTGGAACCAAGGGAGCCCCATACGCTCAGAGATTACCGCTTGGATGGGTAATTATTGGAGAGACATGCCTGGGGAAGATTCATAGCCCTGAAGTTGTAAATGTCAACAAGATCAAAGTATGGAATAACGGACGAACCTCTTTGTTAACACCTTGCCCCGACAACTTCCTTGCCAGAGAGACTGACCCAGTATTCAAACTTACTCAAGATGATGACAAACCTGGATTGTCAGTGGAAGAAAGACAATCCATTTAAGTTATGGACAGAGAGATGTATATGGGACCAGAAGGTAATTGGACGGACCACTTCCCTTTAAACTGAACAGACCTGCTCTTCCAGATAATAGAAGTCTAGCATTGAAAAGAGCTGTTTCTCTTGCAAGAAGACTTCATCAGGATCCTGTAAAGATGGAACACTTTGTGCAGTTCATGACTAACATATTTGACAAGAAGCATGCCGAAATTGCACCTTGCCTAGAACCTGATGAAGAACACTGGTATCTGCCGATATTTGGTGTTTACCATCCAAAGAAACCCGGAGCAAATCCGAGCAGTGTTTGATTCTTCAGCTACTCTACAAGGAATATCTCTCAACAATGTCCTCCTTTAGGGACCAAATTTAACCAACAGTCTTCTTGGTGTTCTATTTCGTTTCAGGAAAGAAAAGGTTGCTTTCATGGCGGACATCGAAAGTATGTTCCATTGCTTTCTTGTGAAAGAAAATCACCGTAATTATCTCCGATTCTTCGGTTTGAAGAAAATGATCCCACAAAGAACCTGACAGAATATAGTATGCGAGTACATGTTTTTGGAAATAGTCCATCCCCAGCAGTTGCGACTTACGGTCTTCGGAAGGCAGCCAGAGAGGGAGAAGAAACTCTTTTGGACAAGACACAAAACTATTTGTAGAGAGAGACTTTTATGTGGATGATGGATTGAAATCATGTTCATCAACTGAAGAGGCAGTTAGCCTACTCAAACGGACACAGAAATCACTTAGAAAATGGTAACTTGAGACTTCACAAGATTGTTTCAAACAGCACTGAATTGATGCAATCATTTCCTCATACAGACTTGTCAAAGGATCTCAAAGCTTTAAATCTGTTAGAAGAATTCTCTCCTTTGCAGAGAAGCCTTGGTATGCTTTGGAACCTGGGAAATGATCTCTTCACTTTCAAAGTCTCACAAGAGTAGAAGACTTATACGAGACGTGGTATTTTATCAACTGTTAATAGCATATTTGATCCAATGGGATTCATTGCTCCTGTCTCAGTGCATGGAAAACTACTACTTCGTAAGGCAATGGTTGGAAAGTCAAGCTGGGATGAACCTCTAGATCAACAACTTGAACAGGAATGGGACCAATGGAAAAGTTCTCTCAGGCAACTACAGAACCTTAAGATTCCAAGAATGTTTGTTCCCACCTTCTATGACCTCTCCAGTAGAAAGGAAGTACTGGTTTATTGTGACGCTTCAGAGCAAGCAATAGCAGCAGTTTCGTACCTTCATGTCACAGATAACACTGGACAGTCACATACAGGTTTCATACACGGGAAAGCTAAAGTTGCGCAAACTCATTGACATACGATACCCCGATTGGAACTTTGTGGAGCTGTATTGGCAGTGGATATTACAGAATCTGTAACATCTCATCTTGAATTGGCCCTGAACTCGATACAGTTCTTTACAGACAGCAAGATTTTATTAGGATACATTAGAAACCTCTACAAGAAGGTTTTCTGTTTACATCTCCAACCGAGTGCAGAAGATTAGACGACTATCAAGTTCAGAACAGTGGTCATATGTTCCTACAAGTAAGAACCCTGCAGATTCAGCTACTAGACCTCTGGACACTGCACGGATATGTCACAGCCCATGGCTAAAAGGTCTCATCACCTACTCTGGGAGTGAAGAAATTTGCCAAAAGCAGTCAGAGGAACTTGTTCAGAAGATTTTGGTAAGGATTTGGAATTGAGTGAAGATTTATCTACTTTCTAAACCACAACAGTGCAGAAAGTTGGAATTGGGTACAAGAGGTTTGAGCGCTTTTCAGAATGGAAGAAGCTTGTTCAAGCTAATGCCTTTTTGAAGCGATTTGCCAGAAGTTACAAGAAGGATGGAAATCTTGACAACAGTGTAGGGATTCAGAAAGATTCAGAAAATTTCATTCTTCAACAAGTTCAACAAGAACAGTTCTTTCTAGCATCAAGTTGTCAAAAGACAGCCGGTTACTCGGTCTTAATCCTTTCGTAGATGAATCTGGACTTCTACGTGTTGGCAGACGAATACGACATGCAGACATTGCCTCATGTGGGAAGACTCCCGTCATTCTACATGGAAGTCACTATATCGCTACACTCCTGGTACGACACTTTCATACATTAGTGCATCATCAGGGACGCCATTTTACAGAGGGAGCCGTGAGGAGTGCTGGATATTGGATTGTCGGAGGTAGGCGACTGATTTCATCTTTGATCTACAAGTGTGTGAAGTGTAGAAAATTGAGAGGAGAACAGGAAACTCAAAAAAAATGGCAGATTTGCCTTCAGACTGTCTGAAATCATCACCGCCGTTTACATTTGTAGGAGTTGACACATTCGGACCTTGGAATATCTCCTCAAGAAGAACACGGGGTGGTTTAGCACAAAGTATACGATGGGCGCTGTTATTTACTTGTCTTGTATGCAGAGCGGTTTACATCGAATTGATCGAAGAGTTGAGTTCTTCATCTTTTGTAAATGCAGTCCGCCGTTTCATCTCGATTCGTGGAAAGGTTTAAGAATTCCGATCAGACAGAGGGACAAATTTTGTGGGCGCAGTTGAAAATGAAGAAATGAGGAAATTTCTATTGGACAACCAGTCTGAGGGGAAATTTAATCTGCCTCACGCCTCACACATGGGAGGAGTGTGGGAGAGGATGATCGGAGTAGTTCGCAGAATCTTAGACAGTATGTTGTTAACCAATCAGCAAGGAGCCTAACACATGAAGTTTTATGTACTTTCATGGCAGAAGTGTCTGCAATAGTGAATGGTAGACCTATCACACCAATATCAAGTGACCCGGAGTCCCCATTTATACTGACCCCACAAACTCTGTTGACACAGAAATCTACTCAGGAAATGGACTGTGATTTTGCTATTTCAGATAATCTTGGAAACCTGTATAAATCACAATGGAGACGGGTACAAGCCATGGCAGAGACATTCTGGAACAGATGGCGTCGTGAATATCTTCACACTTTGCAATATAGGAGGATATGGAAGGAAGGTCGACCTGACCTGAATATCGGAGACTTTGTTTTGGTTTGTGAGAAAAATGTACATAGAAATGAATGGCCAGTTGCTGTTATTACTGATCCTATTCAAAGCAGTGATTGACACGTCAGAAAAGCTGTTGTGAAGTTGTTTCGGAAAAATAAGATAACCTATCTTACCCGTCCTATCACAGATTTGGTCCTTTTGATGTCAGCCTAGATCCTTCCGGGTACTCAGGTTGTGATGTATGATCTCCGGAGAGATCGCTGTTGCCTGTTGCGTTAATATGATCGCTGTGAAATGTATAATTTTCCAGCAATTTCTCGTTTCATGTTTTGGGAATCTTTTTGCGGGTATGTTTGTATTTTATTGTTAGGCCAATATTTTTGTAATATCTGAGTTATCAGATATTAGGCGGGGAGTGTGCTGTATTTCACAGGGAACTTTTTCACTTGCACCGTTTGTCACTGGTACTTTTTTTGTGGAAGAACCTTTCTCGAGCCTCTTGTTTTTGAACTTTCGATATGGAAAGCCGCTTGGCCAGGACTCTCTCCCTTTTTGGGCTACAAATCCACAAAGTGTATGTATTTTTCATATTTGCTGCTCTTTGCATATTGTAATATGTGTTCAATTTCATTATTTAGGCAATTTGTGTGTAAATAATTTTCTGTATTTAATATTTTGGATGTGGCGTTCAATTTCGGGCAGGGAAAACACTGAACTGTTTTCAAATGCTTTTTATTGCTAATTTTGCATAGTATTTTGGAATGTTTTATAGTATATTGAATTGAGGAAACATATTTTGCAGCTTTGTTAGTTTAGGATGTAAGTTTCTTTTGGCTAGAAATGCTATGCTGTCAAAATGCAGTATTTGAAGCATTCGTAAAATATCCTTACCTGTTGACTGGTTAACCTATTAATATGGTCATTGCAGAGTTACCTCTTGTGCGTCTACTGAAGTTATATTATTCTCATTTACATGTAACAGTGTAACAAATTCAGGTTTTGGCTGTTTATGCATTTATTCAGTAATTATTGTGACTTATGCACATTTTTTGGAAATGTACTCTATTAGGATAAATTTGGAGTGGATGTGAACTTTAGGAACTTTGTACTTATTATTGTGTTTTGTACATTTCAGTCTTACCCTATATCTTCCATATCTACAAATGAAGATTACCAATAAACGATAAACTGGATCCTTGAATCTTGACTGTCGTTTTTGGAAGTGGGTGAATGCTAAGACAGCATAACGGAGATTGATGTAGGACGGAAGTAGATGGAAGTAGGGCGGAGAAAAATGTAGGACATAGATAGATTGATGAAGGACAAAAATTGATGAAAGTAAAGGTCATAGATGGATGTAGGTCGGAGATAGATGGAAGTAACGGGGATAGATAAATGTAGGACGGAGATAGATGGAAGTAACGGAGATAGATAGATGTAGGACGGAGATAGGTTGACGTTTGGCAGAGATCGATGGATGTAGACTGGAGATAGAGGGAAGTTGAACTGAAACAGATGGAAGTAGGTACGTGACCGTGTTTGGCAGCTTGACAAGGGCTTGTTTCAAGGGCCACAACGAAACACACATGTACGTGGTCCCACCTGAGGCAAGTAGGTTTGCTCAAAAGTCGCTCTGCTCACCCAGCAGAAAGTGGGTACCCAATAGGATAAATCATATTACTATTATCCTCACAGGCAGCTAGGGTTGTCCGGGGTAATGATGTCCCCTTCAGGTTGCCATATTTTTCTGTCCAATCACCCGTCTATCGATCAAACATTAAATGGCTTGATGGACCCGTGTGCGAAACACGCATTAGGTATGTGTATGTGTTATGAAAGAGCATATTACATATCCAAATCATCATCATCATCACCATCATCATCTGTTCTGTTCCCCACCTGCTTGATAACGTCTCTCTCAATGTAATAAGTGAGTGAGTGAGATATACGGTGGCGTTCTGTAAATAATCGAGTCTGGACCAGACATTCAAGTGATCAACAGCATGAGCATTGATCTACGCAACAAGGAACCGATGACACGCATCAACCAAGTCAGCGAGCCTGACCATCCGATCCCGTTAGTCGCCTCTTACGACAAGCATGAGTTGCTGAAGATGATGTAACGCTGAGTTGGAGGTGTGTTAACACCCGGCTTCCCGTCTAACGTTACAATAAAACCAGGTTCTACAAAGAGTGTAATTACGCTGTCCGAACCACTAACGTTAAGCTATTTTCAAACGCCAATTAAAGTGAAAAAAACACAACGAGAAGAATAGTTACAGTGTTTAATGGATACTCAAAACAACAAGTACACGTACAAGAAAAAAAAAGAAGAAACTTTTCACCACACGCTCTGAAATACACTACATACTGTGTACA